ACTGTGGAACCGGTGGGCGGTTAGAAAGTTTTACTACTAACAGAGATACAAAAGTGGGCAGTAGATATAAAAAGGTTGACTACCCTTGTAGATAGAACATAACTTGTCATGTTACATGAATACAGAAAAATTGTGGCTAACTTGAATTATGTTTAGTGGAAACAAACTAGTCTTGAAGTAGTGCTTATGAAATTGGATTGCTTTCACTAAATGTCATAGTTAGGGTTTGCAGGTAGTTTTTGACTTGCAACAGTTCATTTAGTGACTGTTCAAAGTTACAATGGCACTGAAAAAAGATACTTATGACCATTTTTCACATGACTTTTATAGTATCTCCATGGTCATGGGATCAAAATTCAGATGCTTGGAAACTGGTTCATATTTATGAGAGAGTCCTGGGATCATGTGATCAGCTTTTGTAGCCTTCTGACAAGCAAAGTCAATGGGAAAGTCAAATTCACTTAACAACCATGTCAGTAACTTAACAATTGCAGTGATTCGCTTAACAATTGGCAAGAATAGTCGTAAAATGGGCAAAATTCACTTAACAAATATCTCGCTAAACAACAGAAATGTTGGGCTCAATTGTGGTCATATGTCGAGGACTACCTGTACTTTACTTTGGGAAATTGCTATGCCTGTAGTAAAACTTAACAATTCTCTCCATGAGAAAAAACAAGTGAAAAATGGGTTTCATTTTTGAAATTATGTATACCTGTGTTTTGCGAGTTACCAAATTACTTACATTTTGTGGAGCTATCTGGTTCACATTACAAATACTAATATTTTATTCCTAGTCCTTAAGTACTATTCTGCATAACCATGATTCTGTAAGTGTTGATTATATAAAAGATTTTTTTTAATGTGCTTTTTCCTCCTCACAGTCAGACTATTTATAACTTACAAAATAGACACACACAGAATCACTGAGAACCCAGTATTTATTTATGTTTGTATATGAGCAATGTACAAATATACAAATTGGAGGAATATATGTGTTCTATCTTTTTCCATTTCTCAGCCAGTACAGAAATATTATCTGGACAAGACTTGGCTTTGAATCCAAAACATTTTTTCATATGTATTGTGCAATAATGATACAACCAAATTGTCTTTATGTATGTTTATTAATAAATGCAGTAAAGGGAATTAAGCAGAATGGAGATTTCTATTGATAGAATATTGACTTAATAAGGTAATTAAAATAATTTTTAGAAGGAAAGTATTAGATGTTAGATATTCTCTCGACTCAATAATTGGAGAGAAACATTCTACATCTTAGGTCTAAAAGGTTACACGAGCAACATAAATTACAGGGTTTTTTTGGTTAGCTTTAGAAAATGTTGTGTTTATACATATTGCTTACTACTTTTATCATTAGTCTATATATGTGTGCATTTTGGCTTAGGAATTCTTATCTGAAACTGAGACTGGTCAACATAAGTTAAATTTAGTGGTATCCAAAGGAGAACTGTTAAGTTCTATATTACCTAAAGAAAAAGTTAAATCCATTCAGACCAAAATTGCTTCAGCTAAAGAGGACTGGAAGAAATTTATTTCCACACTGCACCAAAAGGAAACAACTTTAGAGGTATGAGATCAATTACCAAAGAAATCAATAAGTTGAAACCATTTTTTTAACTTTTCCTTCTAAATGTACTTGCACTTAATTCTATATTAAGCCTAAATGATGGACCTTACCTTTTATCTATACCTCTTTTCTCTCGACCTTTTATAAAGTTTTAAAAAGCCATTTTGCTTTTGATTACTTTTAACATAATTACATTTCGGAAAATACAAAGGAGAATCTCTAAAAGAGGCAGATAGATTCTCAAATCCCAAACCTTACAAATTAGTAACCAAAACTTGTATTATGTTTGAAAAGGACTGAGAGGCCATATAGTCAATTAATACTGGGAAGATATGTTCCATATGTCTGGCAAGCTCATTTATCTTTTAATTAACTAAAGATTCTGGATGAGCTTTAAAGACAGTCTTACATATATTCTGTTTCAATAGTTTGGGTCAATCAGTACAGAACGTTGATTCTCTTTCTTTAAGCAAAGAAATATCTCATCTGGAACAGAGATCCCATTCATGACAATGTTAGATTTAATAGTGCTTCTGGATACTGGACTGTATGGTGAAAATATTTTATCCAAAATTATGGACTTGCAATGAATTTTCCCTATCCTGATTTTTTTTCTCTAGAATTTAAAGGTACAGATGAAAGATTTCGAAACAAGTGCTGAACCTCTTCAAGACTGGTTAAATAAAACCAAAGAGATAGTGCAAAGCAGCAATAATAATCTGCATGACCTTTCCACAAAAAGGAGAGAACATCAGAATCTACAGGTAATATTAAGATATTCTCTCTCTATTTATTTAAACATGTTTGGGGCCAATATAGTTTTTTATGAATGAAAGCAAATATATGTGTCCCAGGATGAAGTTGCAGGATCCAATCTGGGTGGGTCACTGGGACCAGAGGTTTTTTCTTCCAAGCTTTTGGACTCATGCTGGAGCCCATCTTCAAGGAACTTCTCTCTAGCAGAGTGTGTGCTGTTCGGTGTGTGGTATATGTCTGTTGTGAATTGCTTTTTAAATGTTGATTGGGATGTGTTGATGGCTGGCTTTTAAGTAGTTAGCTGTCATTTGCTTGTACTGCCCAGCCCTTGCCTTCTAAGTACTTGATAGGCTGGTGGTAAATCAGCACTCCTGTTGACTGATGAGGAGCCTGTTTCCCAGGCTTCAATCACTTCTCTGGCTATTTTTCTGCCTGCTTGTCCAACAATCTTAGAAGCTGCAAAATTGAATGTGTGTCCCTGTTCATTATAGTGTGAGGCTATCAATGAGTTCAGGTCTCCTAGTCTGACAATGTTTCTTTAGGTTGTATGTTCTTATCTTATGTACAAACTGATTCATATCTTCACTTGAAAACATTTCCAAAGACCATTTTATCTGTTGAGGAAAAATCTAGCAAATCTCATTTCAAAGTTCAAATCTTTTTGAACACCAGAACTATTCAATCCAGTGCTGATATGGTCTTCATTGCTGCAAGGGGATGTTTAATCTGATGCTGAAAAAAGAATCCCTCACTCTTGGCAAAGAGAAAATGGTAACAGAATGACTAGGCAATATCAAAGAAGAAAAAGTGGCCTTATTCATGTTTAGCACTTTGAGAAACCCAAATTTAAGTTCTTGACTTTATAATCCCAGTGTTAAATATGGGGCTCAAAATAGCACACGTGGGAGAGAATGTTGATCAATAACAACAGACTAGGCTTCACACAATGTTTATAATCTTGATTAATATGTTTATGTCATGGCCATTTTATCCTACTGTTCATTAACAAACATTGTGATTACAGTAGATTGCTGAAAAACTGCTTGAAACTGAAGCACTATTTGGAGGAAAGGTATTTAATCCCCCTCCCCCAAAGAAGCAATACACATTGTCACACAACAAACTGATCATTAGGAAAGGTTTAGCATTTCCAAGTCCTTTAACAGACCTTTTCTATCCATCTATCTTCCTTGCTGCTTGCTCTCTTTTTTCCCTGCACTAGTACTAAACAAATATGTGCTTATGCTTTGCAGTCTGTCCTTGAAGAAATAAAATATAATGAGCCTCAGCTCAGCAGATTAAAAGAAAAAGCTCAGCAGCTTTGGGAAGAACAGGCTGCCAGCAAAAACTTTGTGCACAGAGTTTCTCAGCTATCATCTCTCTATCTTGCTCTGAGCAACCTAACAAAGGTAATGCTCCTATATGTGCTTTTATGCAACAAATCTGGTAAAAAATGAAAGCCTGCCTTCTGAAATGCCACATATCTGTTTATCAAATGGCTTCTATCAGTATTTTAAAACCAGTATGGTTGAAGACATACCTTATCAAGAAAAATATTATATTAAGAAATAGGATACACACAGGTATCATTTAATAAGAAAGGAACTTTATGAATTTTTAAACTAATACCAGCAGAAGAAAGAAGCACACACTGGTCATTTAATGCATGTTCTCCTAAATCAGGAGTCTCCAAACTTGGCAACTTTAAGACTTAGGGACTTCAATTCCCAAAATTCCACAGCCAGCATGACTAGCTAAGGAATTCTGGGAGTTGAAGTCCACAAGTCTTACATTTGCTAAGTTTGAAGACTCCTGTCCTAAATGGTTATAAAATGAAGACCTTGGGTGAGTCATCAGTTTACCATTCTGTTCATATATGTTTATTTTATTTGATTTGATTTATTACATATATATACATATATATATATATATATACATATATATATAGGGAAGTATTCATGGGGAAGGAGAAAATGTGGGATCTACTAATGGTTCATCAGCCACTTCCCGCGTGATACTTCTCCATTGGAGCCCCAGGCCAGCTGGCAGAGCCAGATCTTCAGGCCTTTGTGGAAGTTCAGGAGGTTGGGGTAGATCTCACCCAGGGGAGAGACAAGATGTTCCAAAGGGCTGGAGCCAGAGCAGAGAAGGGTCTTTTCCTGGACTCCATCTACTGGAATTCCTTGACCAATGAGATCTGCGGTAGGCCTACTCTGCTGGCATGTGTGGGGCAGCCATTGATAAATAATGTATATCGAACTGAATAAAATGTGCATACTATACAATTAGCAAGTGTATCAATGCATATGTAACTTTAAAAAAATATTATCTGTACTGAGATCCATAATTTGTTGCCATATGTGATTTTTATAAATGCAAGAAGGATTTAAAAAGTATAATCAAAAGAATCACCCAGCCACATTCATTCAAGAGCCAAGGTGGCGCAGTGGTTAAATGCAGCACTGCAGGCTACTGCTAGATCAGCAG